AGGAGAGATAAGGACGATAGAAATAATTATGTTTGATAGGAAAGAAGAAGCAAATGACACCAGAGCACCGCCAACCACCCACATTCAGGACAGATTAGTTATGACAGGGAAAAGCATAATATTATATTGACGAAAGGAGACCGCTAAAAAAGGAATTCCTCCCACTGTCAAGGAGATATTATTTGGGGCATCGTTGTGAAATCAGGCGCTCGTCAAAATACTGAATTCAAAGAAACCGGCATTTCCCTACCAGTTTGGAAATTTCTCTCGAATTTTTGTTTTTTGGTTCAATACCTTTTATGTCTGTATACAAACAAAACACTTTTCTGAGAGAATTTTACTGAAAAAGGCTAATTAAAGGCACTGAAATTGCAGCTGTTCAGTTTCCTAGACTCTCAAGCTTTGGAAAAAAATTGAACTTTAACGGCCATTTTCTCTCTTATGTTACCACTGAAATCAGGTGACCCCCACCACCTTCAAATGCACAAATCTCGACTTCTATTCAATATAGATATTAATATTATGTTGGCATACATAAGCCAAAAGTACATCAATTGGACAGACGTGAAGAAGACGTTATGACGTGTGAATTACGGAAATTTGGTGAGGCTGTCTACACACGGTAAACATTGGATTACTTCGCTTCCTAATATTTGGTCGCTTTTAAGGACAAGCGGGCTAACCCTGATTTCAAGGGTTTCCAGAAATCTTGACCTACACCAAAAGTGGGCATTGCCCTACCACTATAGGAGAAATTTAGTTTCATAGGTGAGTATATTTGTTTGGTTACAGATAAAACTCTCCTTGTTGTTTAAAGAAACTGAACAAGGGGCAAAAATTTTACCTTCGATTTTCTCAAAAACAGCATTTTTCGGGATAGCCCCTTAGTGCTTAAAAGCGACCATTTATGGTTCGTGCAGAAGGTACGTATGCCTTTACAAAATTAGGATAATAATATTATTAATTAGCAAAGGGAAAAGCATGTACACAGATTAAGTTGACCTAATTATGGGCAGGTTCACTAAATCAAGATGTTACCTAATGCTATCATACACTAAAGTATGGAATAAACTCAGTTGGCTACCTCAATTGTCTGTGCATGTTAAAAACTGTAGTAAATTGGTTTATATTTTTTAATGAAACTGGTTGTTGGTTCCTAAATGGGAAAAGTTGTCATAGTAACCTACATACAATTACTAAGATTTCTTGATCTCTTGTACACTGTTTATTCACTGAAGGAGAAATAAATCATACTTTTTCCTACTAGTACAGGGGTATGAGGTTAAATGTGCCAACAGCCCCCCCTCGATACCTTAGAGTGAAGCAATGAAAGAATTGTTGATAATAATCACCGAAACGTGATCTAATAGACTAGTGGGTTTATCACACTCGAACTAAAACAGACCACACGTAAACGGGTCAAACAAGCAGAAAGGACGATGTTGTAAACGTAGTTATTGTTTTTCATGCTCTGAAGAAATGTATAGTTGTTGTTTTTTTTGTGTTTTTTTTTACCTATGTTGCCTTTAAAAGGTTTTTTAAAATTCCACATGGAAATCAACCCCCCCCCCAAAAAAAAAAAATGAACAGAGGCTAGGAAAACACTTAAACTAAGTTAAACCCAATGACGACCCAAAACAACGACAGACAACATGTCATCATCATCATCATCATCATCATCATCATCATCATCATCATCATCATCATC